TGACAGAGTGAGACTCCAACTCAAAAACAAAAAAAAAGAAAAGAAAACAGAGAGCTTTCTGGGGCTGGTTGAAAAAGAGGAAGTAAGAGAGACTATATAATTCTACAAGGGGGACTCAACATGGCTGAGTTGGCTGTTGCTGGCTTAAAGATGGAGGAAGGCTGCATAAGAAGAAATTCAAGTGTCCTAAGGAGCTGATCAGGAAGCTGAGCAAGGACCCCTGATGACAGCCAACAAGGAAATGGGAACCTCAGTCCTATAATTACAAGGAATTGAATTTGGCAAAGTCCAGCATCTTGATTTTGGCCTTGTGAGACCCTTACCAGAGAACCTAGTTGAGTCATGCCAGACTTTTGACCTGAAGAAACTCTAAGCTCAAAAATTATTGTCTTAAGCTGCTACATTTGTGTCAATCTGTTACACAGAAGTAGAATATTAATACATCTACTTTCTATATTAGCTTTAGGTGAAATGAGTTCCATAATATTAACTAGAGTTACCTAAAATAGTGAACATCTTTGTCTTAAAATGTTAAAACTTTAATATCCGGCCGGGCACCGTGGCTCAGCCTGAGTTGGAATCTCACTCTGTCAACCAGACTGGAGTGCAGTGGCCGCTCCTGGCCACCACAGCCTCCACCTGCTGGGCTCCGGCGATCCTTCCGCCTCAGCCTTCCAAGGAGCTGGAACTACAGGTGCGTGCTACCACGCCCAGCTTATTTTTTGATTTATTGTAGAGATAAGGTGTTGCCAAGTTGCCCAGGCAGGTCTTGAACTTACGGGCTCAGGCAATCCACTCGCCTCAGCCTCCCAAAGGCGCGGTATTACAGGCTGAGTTACCGAGCCTGGCTTTTCTTCTCCTCTTTTAAAACTTATCTTCATATATCATTGCTATAAAATTTAAATATTTTTTTCATTTTAAAGACAGGGCGACAGGGTGTCTCTGTCATTCAGATAGAGATATTGTCTGTAGTGGAGCAATCTTGGCATGTTGCAGTCCTGACTTCCTGGCCTCAAGTGATCTTCCTACTTCAGCCTCCTGAGTAGCTAGGGACTACAGGTGTGTGCCACCATGCCTAGCTAATTTTTTATTTTTTGTAGAGATGGGATCTTGCTATGTTGTCCAGAACTCCTAGCATCAAGTGATCCTTCTACTTCAGTCTTGCAAAGTGCTGGGATTACAGGTATGAGCCACCATGTCCAGCCAAATTTTAGATTTTATTATTATATTATTATTATTGAGTTGGAGTCTCACTCTGTCGCCTAGGCTGGAGTGCAGTGGCACGCTCATGGCCACTGCAGCCTTGACCTGCTGGGCTCAGGCGATCCTTCTGCCTCAGTCTTCCAAGTAGCCAGAATTACAGTCACGCACCACCACGCTCAGCTAGTTTTTTTGATTTACTGAAGAGATGAGGTCTCGCCAACTTGCCCAGGCTGGTCTTGAACCTGTGGTCTAGGGCAATCCTCTCACCTTGGCGTCCCAAAGTGCTGGGATTATAGGTGTGAACCACTGTGCCTGGAAAAACTTTAGATTTTATTTATTTACTTATTTTTGGGTTGGTGTCTCACTCTGTCGCCCAGACTGGAGTGCAGTGGCCACTCCCGGTCACCGCAGCCTCGACCTGCTGGGCTCTGGCGATCCTTCCACCTCAGCCTTCCGAGTAGCCGGAATTACAGGCATGTGCTACCACGCCTGGCCTGATTTTTT